CTGCTGTTAAACTGGAGCCGGTCATAAGCACACTGCCCAGGTATGGGAAACTCTCCACTCTCTCCACTACTGCCCATCACCGATTGGGAGTTGTGGGGGTGGAGTGTCCGATGGTACAAAATATCCAGGCAGGTGCTTAGTTTGGTGGGGCTGATGGTAAGGCCCCACCTCTTAGTGGCACGCTCCAGTCTCAGCAGCAGCATCTACAACTCCTCCTCGAATCAGCAGCTATTACCAAATCATCGGCATACATAACGTGGTTGACCAATAGGGAGCCATCCCTTGATCGCACCCGGGCATTGATCAGGCTCCCATTATATCTGTATCAAATGGAAATTCCCCCAGTACAGCTATTGAAGGCTTCACGAACTATGTGGTCAAAATAGAAGTTAAATAATGTGGGAGCCAGAGGACATGGCTGCCTAGCAAGGCGATGTTGAATAATCCTTGCCAGGACCTTTCCCTGCACACTGAGGAGTAAGATGCCCCTGTAGTTGTTACAGTCTGTGCGGTCCCCCTTCTTAAAGAGGGAGACCACCAGGGCATTCTTCCAATCCTGCGGAACCCGTCCAGTGGTCCACTGTTGTTATGATGTCATATAGGGCAGTCTGTGCACAAACGCCACCCTCCCTCAGCATTTCGCTTGGGAGATCATCTCTGCCCGGTGCCTTTCCTGGTCTCAGACTCCGGATCGCCCTCAGTACTTCCTCAACAGCTGGCACCTCAGCCAGCCACTCACAGGGGGTGACCTCTTCCAATATTTGAGGCACCGCAGCCTCAGCAGGGTTATCACCACTTTTTGCCATGATGTTTTCCTGGCTGAGAGAATTTACCTCCCCCAGGACCTCACATAAATGCTCAGCAAATCTGCAAACCTGTTCCTGGGGGTCGGAGATTGGATCACCGTTTTTTCCTCTAATGATGGTAATAGGTGTGGCGCTGCAGGTTACTTTTTTGATGGAGTTAAATAGTGATTTGTGATCACGGGCCACTGAGGCAGACTCCATCTCCTCAGCAACCCGCGACCACCACCCATCCTTACAGCGCCTTACGGCTCTCCGAACTTCCGAGCGAAGGCTGCGGTAAACCTCCTCATTCTCTGACGTGGGATGCTGTAGGCGATGAGAGTGGGCCTGTCGCTTTTTCTCAATGAACCTGAACACCTCCTCTGTCAGCCAGGGTTTCTGGGGAGGTCTGGACCGCGTACCCAAAGCAGCCATTGTAGCTGCATGAGTCACAGTCTTAAACCTCGCCCATTTCCCCTCGACATCAGGTGGAGTGGGGGACGATGCCAACCCCAGCTGCAAGCGATGATGAAATTCTCGCTTGCAACTTTTATCAGCTAACTGAGACCAGGCCACTTTTGGTTGGAATGGGATCCTGGGTGTACACCCACCACCGGAGTGGAAGAAAGGCAGGCGCATCTTACAGATGACTAGTCGATGGTCAGAGGACAGATCAGCTCCACGGTAGGTCCTGGTGTCAAGGACATGGGCTCGCATTTGCTGGTCCGTCACTATGTAGTCCAGCAGATGTTCTTGCTTGGACCCGGCATGTATCCATGATGTTGTGTGGATGCGCCGATGCCGGAAGAGCGTGTTGGTAATTACAAGCCCATGGGCTGCACAAAAATCAAGCAGCCTCCTACCGTTGTTATTGAGCTGATCTGGCCCATGCCTTCCATCACTCCAGACCAGGTGCCAGCATCATGACCAACTCGGGCATTGAAGTCACCCAACAAGATGACTCTGTCCCGAGTGGCCACTTTAGCCAGCACCTGTGACAGGAGGTCATAGAAAGCGTCTGACTCATCGGCTTTGCCTGCATCCCTCCACGGATGTTCATCTTCGGTGGGGGCATAAGTAACCACGACCACCACTCCTCGCCTCTGGTTGATGGGAAGGCGAGCCCAAAGTATCCTGGGGCTTACAGCTTCCCACACCTCACCGCCACGCTCCCACGCCCCCTTCATTCTTTTGTTCAGAAGAAGAGCCACACCCTGTTGTTTGGCAGTCTCCTGCCCCGAGTAGAGGACTGTCCACCCCTCATGGTGGCAGGAGCCAGAACCGGTCCACCGGACCTCCTGAATGCCACAGAGATCCAGGCGGTACCGGTCCAGCTCCCGACAGAGAAGTGGCAGCCTCTCCTCCGCAGTGAGCGTTCGAACATTCCACGTGGCCATCCGCAATGGTTTTTTGTTGTTTCTGGAGGAGCCCCGAGGGTGAAAATTCAATCTCCTGGCTCCGCCAAATGGGGTTTGGCCAGGAGACGTCATAAAAGCCTGACCCCCCGGGGCCTCCGGCACAAGCTTATTTGTTTCAGGTTTATGTTTAATTCGTAGTTTAGTGGTGGTTAATTGAAGGTGGAGGGGTTACCAGCCCCTCGCACCCGTCCAGAGCCCCCGTTTAGCCACTGTGGTGGTCACAGACGCCATGAGGGGAGAGGCCAATGGGCATTGGCCCTCCCCCCACAGCACTGCCCACGACAGTGTTGCCCGTCCGGCACCACGAGGAGGTAGGAGGTTGTTTTGCCGGACAAAAATAACACACACACAATGACACACACACAATGACACACGCACAATAACACACACACAATGACACACACACACAATGACAACCACACACACAATCACACACACACAATGACACACACACAATGACACACACACACAATGACACACACACACAATGACACACACACACAATGACACACACACAATGACACACACACAATGACACACACGCACAATAACACACACACAATAACACACACACACAATAACACACACACACAATAACACACACACACAATAACACACACACACAATGACACACACACACAATGACACACACACACCCACAATGACACACGCACAATAACACACACACACAATAACACACACACAATGACACACAATGACACAATGACACACACACACTGACACACTCCAACGTACACACACGTACGAACAAAGACAACGGTCCCCGTGTAGCCTGTGACAGGCTGTTGGGGCAAGTGCAGCTGTGGAGGCCGCCACTGTGGCTCACGAGGGGCCGTCTCCTCATTGCTCGTCGTTACAGAGGTAAACCCTCTGGGTCTGGCACCAGAGCACCCGGGAGTTGTGTATCTAGAGGTAAACCCTCTGGGTCTGACACCAGAGCACCCGGGGAGTTGTGTATCTGGAGGTAAACCCTCTGGGTCTGGCACCAGAGCACCCGGGAGTTGTGTATCTAGAGGTAAACCCTCTGGGTCTGACACCAGAGCACCCGGGGAGTTGCGTATCTGGAGGTAAACCCTCTGGGTCTGACACCAGAGCACCCGGGAGTTGTGTATCTAGAGGTAAATCCTCTGGGTCTGACACCAGAGCACCCGGGGAGTTGCGTATCTGGAGGTAAACCCTCTGGGTCTGACACCAGAGCACCCGGGAGTTGTGTATCTGGAGGTAAACCCTCTGGGTCTGACACCAGAGCACCCGGGGAGTTGCGTATCTGGAGGTAAACCCTCTGGGTCTGACACCAGAGCACCCGGGGAGTTGCGTATCTGGAGGTAAACCCTCTGGGTCTGACACCAGAGCACCCGGGAGTTGTGTATCTAGAGGTAAACCCTCTGGGTCTGACACCAGAGCACCCGGGGAGTTGTGTATCTGGAGGTAAACCCTCTGGGTCTGGCACCAGAGCACCCGGGAGTTGTGTATCTAGAGGTAAACCCTCTGGGTCTGACACCAGAGCACCCGGGGAGTTGCGTATCTGGAGGTAAACCCTCTGGGTCTGACACCAGAGCACCCGGGAGTTGTGTATCTAGAGGTAAATCCTCTGGGTCTGACACCAGAGCACCCGGGGAGTTGCGTATCTGGAGGTAAACCCTCTGGGTCTGACACCAGAGCACCCGGGAGTTGTGTATCTGGAGGTAAAACCCTCTGGGTCTGACACCAGAGCACCCGGGGAGTTGCGTATCTGGAGGTAAACCCTCTGGGTCTGACACCAGAGCACCCGGGGAGTTGCGTATCTGGAGGTAAACCCTCTGGGTCTGACACCAGAGCACCCGGGAGTTGTGTATCTAGAGGTAAACCCTCTGGGTCTGACACCAGAGCACCCGGGAGTTGCGTATCTGGAGGTAAACCCTCTGGGTCTGACACCAGAGCACCCGGGAGTTGTGTATCTAGAGGTAAACCCTCTGGGTCTGACACCAGAGCACCCGGGGAGTTGCGTATCTGGAGGTAAACCCTCTGGGACTGACACCAGAGCACCCGGGAGTTGCGTATCTGGAGGTAAACCCTCTGGGTCTGACACCAGAGCACCCGGGAGTTGTGTATCTGGAGGTAAACCCTCTGGGTCTGACACCAGAGCACCCGGGGAGTTGCGTATCTGGAGGTAAACCCTCTGGGTCTGGCACCAAAGCACCCGAGAGTTGCGTATCTGGAGGTAAACCCTCTGGGTCTGACACCAGAGCACCCGAGAGTTGCGTATCTGGAGGTAAACCCTCTGTGTCTGACACCAAAGCACCCGTAGAGGTGATTATCTGGAGGTAAACCCTCTGTGTCTGACACCAAAGCACCCGTAGAGGTGAGTATCTGGAGGTAAACCCTCTGGGGCCCGGCACCGCGTGCTGCGTGTGGGCAGGCCCCTGGCGTGGCCCCGCCTCTTCCGGTTCGCCCTGCCCACCACGTGCCGTGACGTCACCGCCGTCGTAGGAAGTCGCTGCTGCTGCTGCCGCCGCCGCTGACTCCACGCGCTCGGAGTGGGGGGGGGCTCCACCAGCCATGGGGGGCGTCCGACTCGAGATCTTCCGCGTGAGCCCCCCCCCCACACCCCCCCCCCTCCCCCGCGCCCCTCCCCACCACCGCCGCCCGTGACCTCAAGACGACCTCCCCCGGCGCAGCGTGGCCCCCCCGCGTCTACCCTCTTGCTGCCCCCCACCCCCAATACTTTACCTTCCACTGTTGTCTCCCCCCCCTCCTAACCTCGTTCTCACCAAGGGGGTCGGCAACCCACCCACTCTAACCCCCCACCCACCCACTCTGACCCCCCACCCACCCACTCTGACCCCCATCCACTCTGACCCCCCAACCACCCACTCTGACCCCACCCACCCACTCTGACCCCCCACCCACCCACTCTGACCCCCCACCCACCCACTCTGACCCCCATCCACTCTGACCCCCCACCCACCCACTCTGACCCCCCACCCACCCACTCTGACCCCCCACCCACCCACTCTGACCCCCCACCCACCCACTCTGACCCCCCACCCACCCACTCTGACCCCCCACCCACCCACTCTGACCCCCACCCATCCACTCTGACCCCCCACCCACCCACTCTGCCCCCCCACCCACCCACTCTGACCCCCCACCCACCCACTCTGACCCCCACCCACCCACTCTGACCCCCCACCCACCCACTCTGACCCCCCACCCACCCACTCTGACCCCCACCCACCCACTCTGACCCCCACCCATCCACTCTGACCCCCCACCCACCCACTCTGCCCCCCCCACCCACCCACTCTGACCCCCCACCCACCCACTCTGACCCCCACCCACCCACTCTGCCCCCCCACCCACCCACTCTGACCCCCCACCCACCCACTCTGCCCCCCCACCCACCCACTCTGACCCCCACCCACCCACTCTGACCCCCCACCCACCCACTCTGACCCCCCACCCACCCACTCTGACCCCCACCCATCCACTCTGACCCCCCACCCACCCACTCTGACCCCCCACCCACCCACTCTGACCCCCCACCCATCCACTCTGACCCCCACCCACCCACTCTGACCCCCCACCCACTCACTCTGACCCCTACCCATCCACTCTGACCCCCCACCCACCCACTCTGACCCCCACCCATCCACTCTGACCCCCCACCCACCCACCCACTCTGACCCCCACCCATCCACTCTGCCCCCCCACCCACCCACTCTGACCCCCCACCCACCCACTCTAACCCCCCACCCACCCACTCTGCCCCCCCACCCACTCTGACCCCCACCCATCCACTCTGCCCCCCCACCCACTCTGACCCCCACCCATCCACTCTGACCCCCACCCATCCACTCTGCCCCCCCACCCCACCCACTCTGCCCCCCCCACCCACTCTGACCCCCCACCCACTCTGACCCCCCACCCACTCTGACCCCCACCCACTCTGACCCCCACCCATCCACTCTGCCCCCCCACCCACCCACTCTGCCCCCCCACCCACCCACTCTGACCCCCCACCCATCCACTCTGACCCCCCACCCACCCACTCTGACCCCCCACCCACCCACTCTGACCCCCCACCCATCCACTCTGACCCCCCACCCATCCACTCTGACCCCCCACCCATCCACTCTGACCTTCCACCCACCCACTCTGACCCCCCACCCACCCACTCTGACCCCCCACCCATCCACTCTGACCCCCCACCCACCCACTCTGACCCCCCACCCACCCACTCTGACCCCCCACCCATCCACTCTGACCCCCACCCACCACTCTGACCCCCCACCCACCCACTCTGACCCCCCACCCACCCACTCTGACCCCCCACCCACCCACTCTGACCCCCCACCCACCCACTCTGACCCCCCACCCATCCACTCTGACCCCCCACCCATCCACTCTGACCCCCCACCCACCCACTCTGACCCCCCACCCACCCACTCTGACGCCCCCACCCACCCACTCTGACCCCCCACCCACCCACTCTGACCCCCCACCCACCCACTCTGACCCCCACCCACCCACTCTGACCCCCCACCCACCCACTCTGACCCCCCACCCACCCACTCTGACCCCCCACCACCCACTCTGACCCCCCCCACCCACTCTGACCCCCACCCACCCACTCTGCCCCCCCACCCACCCACTCTGACCCCCACCCACCCACTCTGACCCCCACCCACCTACTCTGACCCACCACCCACCCACTCTGACCCCCCACCCACCCACTCTGACCCCCCACCCATCTACTCTGCCCCCCCACCCACCCACTCTGACCCCCACCCACCCACTCTGACCCCCCACCCACCCACTCTGACCCCCCACCCACCCACTCTGACCCCCACCCATCACTCTGACCCCCCACCCACTCTGACCCCCACCCATCCACTCTGCCCCCCCACCCACCCACTCTGACCCCCACCCATCCACTCTGCCCCCCCACCCACCCACTCTGCCCCCCCACCCACTCTGACCCCCACCCACCCACTCTGACCCCCCACCCACTCTGACCCCCACCCACCCACATCTGCCCCCCCACCCACTCTGACCCCCACCCATCCACTCTGCCCCCCCACCCACCCACTCTGACCCCCACCCATCCACTCTGCCCCCCCCACCCACCCACTCTGCCCCCCCACCCACTCTTGCCCCCCACCCACCCACTCTGACCCCCCACCCACTCTGACCCCCACCCATCCACTCTGCCCCCCCACCCACCCACTCTGACCCCCACCCATCCACTCTGCCCCCCCACCCACCCACTCTGACCCCCACCCATCCACTCTGCCCCCCCACCCACCCACTCTGACCCCCCACCCATCCACTCTGACCCCCCACCCACCCACTCTGACCCCCCACCCACCCACTCTGACCCCCCACCCATCCACTCTGACCCCCCACCCACCCACTCTGACCCCCACCCATCCACTCTGACCCCCCACCCATCCATTTTGACCCCCCACCCACCCACTCTGACCCCCCACCCACCCACTCTGACCCCCCACCCACCCACTCTGACCCCCCACCCATCCACTCTGACCCCCCACCCACCCACTCTGACCCCCCACCCATCCACTCTGACCCCCCACCCACCCACTCTGACCCCCCACCCACCCACTCTGACCCCCCACCCACCCACTCTGACCCCCCCACCCACCCACTCTGACCCCTACCCATCCACTCTGACCCCCCACCCACCCACTCTGACCCCCCACCCACCCACTCTGACCCCCCACCCACCCACTCTGACCCCTACCCATCCACTCTGACCCCCCACCCACCCACTCTGCCCCCCCACCCACCCACTCTGACCCCCACCCACCCACTCTGACCCCCCACCCACCCACTCTGACCCCCCACCCACCCACTCTGACCCCCCACCCCACCCAATCTGACCCCCCACCCACCCACTCTGACCCCCCACCCACCCACTCTGACCCCCCACCCATCCACTCTGACCCCCCACCCACCCACTCTGACCCCCCACCCACCCAATCTGACCCCCCACCCACCCACTCTGACCCCGACCCATCCACTCTGACCCCCCACCCACCCACTCTGACCCCCCACCCACCCAATCTGACCCCCCACCCACCCACTCTGACCCCCCACCCACTCTGACCCCTACCCATCCACTCTGACCCCCCACCCACCCACTCTGCCCCCCACCCACCCACTCTGACCCCCCACCCACCCACTCTGACCCCCCACCCACCCACCTCTGACCCCTACCCATCCACTCTGACCCCCCACCCACCCACTCTGACCCCCCACCCACCCACTCTGACCCCGACCCATCCACTCTGACCCCCCACCCACCCACTCTGACCCCCCACCCACCCACTCTGACCCCCCACCCATCCACTCTGACCCCCCACCCACCCACTCTGACCCCCCACCCACCACCACTCTGACCCCCCACCCACCCACTCTGACCCCTACCCATCCACTCTGACCCCCCCCACCCACCCACTCTGACCCCCCACCCATCCACTCTGACCCCCCACCCACCCACTCTGCCCCCCCACCCACCCACTCTGACCCCCCACCCACCCACTCTGACCCCCCACCCACCCACTCTGACCCCCCACCCACCCACTCTGACCCCCCACCCACCCACTCTGACCCCTACCCATCCACTCTGACCCCCCCACCCACCCACTCTGACCCCCCACCCATCCACTCTGACCCCCCACCCACCCACTCTGCCCCCCCACCCACCCACTCTGACCCCCCACCCACCCACTCTGACCCCCCACCCACCCACTCTGACCCCCCACCCACCCACTCTGACCCCCCACCCACCCACTCTGACCCCCACCCATCCACTCTGACCCCCCACCCACCCACTCTGACCCCCCACCCACCCACTCTGACCCCCCACCCACCTAGAACTGGTCCAGATGTCATTCACCGCTGATGTTTTTCTTACAAGGGCCTTCGGGATCAGACAGGGATGAAGAGAAATCTCAGCGTAGGACAAATTATCCCACAATGTTCCGCATTTGTGAAGGCGGTGTTGATGACAACGGTCTTGGTTTTTCCTGAATAAATTATTTTCTGATTGGTTTGATTGCTTAAGGGAACAAATACATGTATTAATGAGCCATTTAATTGTATTTAATCAGCTCTGCCTTCCAGATGTACTTTAATGTCTGATTAGCATTTACTAATTTTAGCCAGCCATGGTGAGCTGGCACTCAACTCCGTGTATTTGTTCCCTCTCTGATCTTTAAAGGTGCATTTGAAAAATTTGGATACTCCAACTGATGCTCCTGCTGTTGTGGAGTGACTCATGCAGCCAGCTGTGGCTGCAGGGTTTGGTGGTACATGTTGTTTATGTCGTTTATTGTGAAAATTCGGTCACAGTTCCTATGATTGCTGTTTCATTGCTTATGGCTTTATTTTGGTGATTTCGAAACGTTTTTTGGTTTGGCCATGTTTATTTGTTGTAGTACGGAGTTAAAATGATGGCTTTAATCTAAGTTGTCTTGTGGTTGTTGTTGTTTGACTTGCATCCCACTGGGATTTTTGCACAGGGTTGGTGTACGGTGATTTTTTTCTGGAAGAATTTGAAGTTTTTTCATGGATTTTTCTGTTTGCGCATAGTCACTTTAAGATGTTTTCTTGTTCATGTTTTTTTTTGTTGCGGTTGCCCCCGATTCAAGAGCCGAATGGCTCACAGGGCTCTATACCTAATACATGAAACTCAAACTAAATGAAACTGAAAAATGAAACCCACTCTGACCCCCCCCACCCACCCACTCTGACCCCACCCACCCACTCTGACCTCCCCCACCCACTCTGACCCCCACCATCCACTCTGACCCCCCCCACCCACTCTGACCCCCCCCCACACCCACCCACTCTGACCCCCCCCACCCACTCTGACCCCCCCCACCCACTCTGACCCCCCCCCCCACCCACTCTGACCCCCCCACCATCCACTCTGACCCCCCCCACCCACTCTGACCCCCCCACACCCACTCTGACCCCCCCCACCCACTCTGACCCCCCCCCCACCCACTCTGACCCCCCCCCACACCTACCCACTCTGACCCCCCCCACCCACTGTGACCGCCCCCACCCACTCTGACCCCCCCCCACCCACTCTGACCCCCACCATCCACTCTGACCCCCCCACCCACTCTGACCTCCGCCCCTCCCCTCCGCGGCCTCGGCACGACAACAAACCCAGCAGGAGCCACTGTGTCGATCCACTGCTGGATGAAGGCCCCCACCCCCTCCCCCCCCACGCCTCTCCCCCCACCCCCCCTCCCCCACCTCCTCCCCCCCACGCCTCTCCCCCCACCCCCCACCCCCCTCCCCCACCCCCTCCCCCCCCACGCCTCTACCCCCACCCCCCACCCCCCTCCCCCACCTCCCCCCCTCCCTGTGCCAGAAATCCGTGCAGAATGTTTGAAACTCCCCAAGTTGCGTGGCTTGTAAACAACAGCAGCAGCGGCAACAACATTAATAACAATCGTCTGCAACGTTCAAAACAGCGGCACACACGGCGTCGTCATGGACACGTGGGTGGTGATCCCATCTGTCGTGATGTTGTGTGGGCTCTGCGTAGTTTTATGGATTTAACGCCTCCGTGGTTTGGCTTGGAGTAAAGATCGTCGGCGTAAGGCACTACAACTAGAGTTCAGTCACATTTCGTTTTACGTTGAAGGCGGTTGTGTGTGCGTGCGCGTGCTTTTTTGCTCACGTTTATATTAGCTTCGCTGCTGTGCTCGTTAAAGTTCTTCATTTGGTCATTTTGGTGGCAAATGAAAGACTCTGGTCTCTTTGAGTTCTCAACTCTATATTCCTGTAATGTTACGAACAAGCTTAGGCAGATTTAAGATGCGATAAGATGGATGTGGCGTCGCCAAGATACCCTTGACTTTTAACTATTTACTGTTTATTTTACCAGGTATCACAAATGATAGCTCAACGAAGTGGAAATTTATAGCAGCCAAATGCTGTGGAGGGAAAATCTGGAGGACCCGGAAGAAATTCCACGCGACTACGGGGAGAGAGACACCTTAAACTCCAGATATACAGCAGGCGTCAAGGTCGGGATCAATCTCACAACCTCCTGTATATCAGGCGAGGTAGTCAACATCTCCTAGCCACCGTCATGATGATGATGATGAGAGAGATGCAGACTCAAGATATACAGCAGCAGCAGGCATCGTCAGGGTCGGGATCGAATCCACGACCTCCTGTAGACCAGGCGAGGTAGTCAACATCTCCTAGCCACCGTCATGATCATGATGATGAGAGAGATGCAGACTCAAGATATACAGCAGCAGCAGGCATCGTCAGGGTCGGAATTCAATCCACGACCTTCTGTATACCAGGCAAGGTAGTTAACATCTCCTAGCCACCGTCATGATCATGATGATGAGAGAGAGATGCAGACTCAAGATATACAGCAGCAGCAGGCATCGTCAGGGTCGGGATCCAATCCACGACCTCCTGCGTAAAAGGCCACTGTGTGACACCTTTTCATCAGAGCAGCGTTCCACACTATTCTGCCTGGAATTAACCGCCGCTTTTATTTCCAAGCTGTCATTTTGGAATTAGACGGTAATTCTTTTTCCCGGTTTTCCGCTGGAAATCCGCGAGCTCTCCCGAGGCTCGCAAGACCTTCCTTGTGGAGGGACAGAACTGGCTGGGAATCGATGAAAATAATAACGACAACAAGGAAACCTTCGCAGCAGGACAATGATACTTGAGTGAGCCAACATAATTGGCTGCCTGCCATTTCAGCGAGCCATCATCTGAACCGCGTGCTCTCCAAATGTATTCTTTGCTCAACCACTCGACAGCCTTAGGCAGATGGCTTCTGCCGAATTGTTTTGAATCTTGCCCACGCTCGACAGAATTTTTCAATATTCCTTTAATGAGACGTGTTCCTGGAATATGGAGAGAGTGTTACCAGTGGGCCAAGCGTGGTCTCTTTAAAAGCCTTAAGTGAGTGCTTGTGCAATTCAACAAGGGCAATGGACCTTCCGTGTGCTATGAAGAAGGGCCAGACCTAACACGTCTACTATTATATATTTTTCCTCGTAAGACAGCAGCGTTATTGATGAACGTGTTGAGTTTTTTGTAGTAATAATGTGATGAGAGCGTGCCGAGTGGCTGTTCGTGATGGGGGACTGATGCGTGTGCCTTGTGTGTGTGTGCGTGTCGGCTCTTCCCTGGCAGATGATGCTGTACCTGTCCTTCCCCGTCGCCATGTTCTGGGTGTCCAACCAGGCCGAGTACTTTGAGGAGTACGTGGTGAAGAGAAAGGCAAGAGTCCCGCGAAAAAAAACACAAACACACGAGCAGCAAGACAACGTCGCGTATCCGACCCGTCACATGTCCGCCCGCACGCAGCGCGGTAGTGAAATGGCCCCTCTCTGTAGACGCTTACACATCTGGCCTTTTCACACGTCCGGCGAAACCCCCCAGCCAGTCGGATCCGTCACGCGCTAGGGTGTCGGACGGACAAACCCACAGGGCCACGAGATGCCCTGGAGATGGCAGGACACCCTAAACGGATTCTTGAATCAGTCTGTGTGGACCTTGTCATCTCGTTAGTGGGGTTTTTTCCCCCCCCGAATTCTTCGGTATCGCCCCCCCCCCCCCATTAATGGAATTGGCCAAACCATCCCAACGTGGCAGGGACCCTCCCGGAAATGAGTTGTGAGACTCGGAGAGGCCTTCCTGGGCTAACGCTCAGTGCGTCATCACGACCGCATCGGCTGTCGAGGGATGAGTGGCCGAGTTGAGTTCCAGGCTGCCATCGGGGGGCCATGTCGTGTCTGCTAATGTTTGCGATGCCGTCCACGCCGCGCTCGTGCTAATGCGTGCGTTTCTTTTTACGCTTCCGTCCGCAGAAAGAAATATTCCCGGCGAACGAGTCCAAGCAGGTACGACGCACGCCGGCCCTTCCCCCGTCGTCGATGTGCTGCCCGGAACGTTCCGCGCGGCCTCTCGTGACGTCGGGGGGATTTTTTTGTGTTAGATCGCGTGAATATAAATGTGTCATTAAACCCGCCACCGCCTGACACGACCAATCAGTTACTAGTTCAGCACACGCCGGTGTGTAAACCCACTACAACATTCACATTTCGAGTTCCGTGGCGTTCCGCCGGTAATCACAACCACCAACCGGCCTCATCAGGCGACAGCCATAATTGTGGGTAAATCCTCCGCCTGACGTCGTCACTGTGTGCGTTCACATTGACGCGATCTGACCCAAAGAAACTCTGTGCAATCACTGTAACCGGTGCCCGTGGCTCACTCGCGAGGCCAGTTCTCGTTTGTGTTGCGGATCGTTGTTGAGACGCATTCCGCGTCATCTCTCCTCGCACCGGGGCGACTGGGTCGGGGCTGCAGTGGTGACGCTCGTGCCGCAGGGCTAGAAGGGACCGGGTTTTCTCTCTCCCCCCGATCGGCACGGGTTTCCTCGGCGCGGGTTTCCTCCCCGCATAGCAGAGGTCGCAACCGGGTACCCGATACCCGTACCCTACCCGATACCCGGTTACCCGTACCCGGCCGGGTACGGGTACCCGTTTGCGACCCTGGTGCGGCCGGGTACGGGTAGGCCGTGAGTCACTGGTGAGTCACCGTTTGTCACTCATTTCCCAACGTCTCGTCTCTTCTCACAATTCAAGTTCCTAGAATCAACCCACCCGCACCTGCAACACGGCTTCATCCCAGAGGTCGCAATCAGGTACCCGATACCCGTACCCTACCCGTACCCAGCCGGGTACGGGTACCCGTTTGCGACCCTGGTGCGGCCGGGTACAGGTTTGCGACCTCTGCCGTGTAGCTTGAAAGATGTCAAACCGTGTCAATGGTATCGGCCAAAACATCCCAACGCTGAAAAGCGACCTGCAGTTTGACCCAACTGGTGTCGCTTGGAGCAACGTCGCTCCCCTTGCCTGCGACGGCTTGGCAGGGCCCTCCTGAAACTGAATCCTGACACTCGGAACAACACCGCGCTGGATTCTGCGTCGGGACGACGGCGGGCGGGCGTGGGCTCGTGTGTGGACGTTCGTATTTCACGCCGCCGTGGTTGCGTTTCTTGCAGAGGCAGGAGCTGGAGAGATTCAAGAAGTTCATCCAGATGAAGCAAGCGAAGAAGCACGAATGAGCTCTCTCGCGGGATCCCGTTCCCCACGGACTCCTCGGGATCGCCCGCCGTGTGATTTTCGCTCCCCTGCGTGACGATCTCGATGGAAATGTATCTCTCTCCCATTCGGGCCTTCTCTCTGCAGGCCTCTTACGGGCGTCATCACGCGCGGTGGCCTCATTCGCCTTAGTAGGGCGACGTGGCCCCTCACGGGGTAGATGTTGAGGTTTCCCACAGCCTGACAAGTCACGTCGCTCCTGTGTACGGGATCGTTGTACCGTCTCGCTCCCGTGTCGACGGCTGCTGTTGCTACGGTCGCCCTCGTCGCTCGCCGATCTCCGTGGACCACAGACGCGCAACAAGCTAGGGGAGGAGATGTAACGCGACGGGAAAAGTTTCCGGTGAAACCGCCGCACTGCGGCCGTGGCTGCTGCCGTGACTACACGGTCCTACGCCAAGCGGTTTTGGTGCCGAGTCAACAATCGGTAATCGTCACACATCTGCGCTCACCGGAAAGAAAAAACAACTTTTCTCGCCGTCGTGTTACGTTACCGCGGCTGCTAATCTGCCCTTTGTGGTCTACGCAGAGCAGCTGCGCTGGGCGACTCGAGCGACGGCTGGCGAGGGGAGGTTACTTAACGGGAGCGGCCTCTCGTCGCGACGATCGTCGTCGTAGTTTTTATTGCGCTGGGCAGCGGCTCGCACGGGTGAGACACGGATCTCCTCCGTCGGTTGTGGGCTAACGGAGGTGATGGGAGGGGAGGGAGGTGGGGGGGGGGTAGCAAAGCACACGTCGGATGACCTTCATCGCCACCCCGACTGGCAGGCCGGGTACTCAAGTCGCCTTGTGCCGCCGCTGAAGTCGGCCTATCCAGAGCGCGTCGAGATGTGAAGTGTCGTGATCCCAGACGCCCTGGCGGAGGGGAAGGGCGCTCCGTCGTTTTTCGCTCGCGTACCCGAACATCGCTCTGCCGTCGGGCGAACGTCGCCGCGTTGGGTCGCGTCCGCTCGCTGGTGTCCACCCAAACCTCGCTTCACCACTTGCTTGTACTCGCTGCTGTGACGACATTGATGACGACGATGATGATGACGACGATGATGACGACGATGATGATGATGATGATGACGATGATGACGATGATGACGATGATGATAACGATGATGATGACGATGATGACGACGATGATGACGACGATGATGACGATGACGACGACAATGACGATGATGATGTGTGCCCGCTATATAAAGTGCCGTTTGCCCTCTTGAGAGCTGTGCCGATTGGATCTGTGACGCGGGTTCGCGCGCTCGCTGCGGTCTGAGCATATTTAACGACGCGTCGACAAAAGTTGCTAGTAATAGGTTTTTACCCTTTCAACTGGTACAAAAACTGGCACCTTTATACAAGGCATCATGTTTGCAATAACCACAACACAAGCAGTCAAAATGCAAACAAAAAGAAACAACTCTGATGATGATAATGATATGCACTGTCCTTGAAGTTGATTGGTCCACGCCCGAGACAGCTTTTCTTAGAGCCTGGTCTCACCTTGGTGTTGTCGTGTCCAAGCGCAGCGGCGAGGACGAATGCGCAGAAGAAACACGACGTTGCAACTTTGATTAGCGCATCGTCGCGTGGAGTTCGTCGAGAGGGACGGATCGCCGTGTCGTTCGCCTTCAACAGACACGAAGTGACGTCGCAACGCAGTAGATGCCAGAGCCGGGAGGCTTAACGGGAGAGCCCGGGGGTCCCACCAAGGGGTTCGAATGTTCACGGTGGCACAGTTCGGCAAAGTGTGGCGCAAAACGAAGTTCCACGGCCTTCCCGTGCCGCGCCGCGTGGAGGGGTCTCTAGGGCGAGGGTTCGGTTCGGGGGCCGAGGGAGCGCCGTGCTCAACAGCGGCTGTCTGGGGGGGTGAGGGGGGAAGAGACGCTGCTGCTGCGGCTGCTGCTGCTGCTGCTGCGAGGAAGGACGTTCGACAGGCGAGGGCAGTGCGAAGGAAGAAGCGGAGGGGAAAGTGGTGAGGTGGCGTGCGGTGTGGTGAGTGGGTGGGTGGGTGAGTGGGGCATTGGGACCTGCAGTGTGGTGAGTGGGTGTGGGTGAGTGTGTTGTTGTGACCTGCAGAGTGGTGAGTGGGTGTGGGTGAGTGTGTTGTTGTGACCTGCAGAGTGGTGAGTGGGTGAGTGTGTGTGTTAATATGATCTGCAGTGTGGTGAGTAGGTGAGTGAGTGTGGGTGAGTGTGTTGTTGTGACCTGCAGAGTGGTGAGTGGGTGAGTGTGTGTGTTAATATGATCTGCAGTGTGGTGAGTAGGTGAGTGAGTGTGGGTGAGTGTGTTGTTGTGACCTGCAGAGTGGTGAGTGGGTGAGTGTGTGTGTTAATATGATCTGCAGTGTGGTGAGTGGGTGAGTTGTGGTGCCACAACGACGGGGCCGCTCTGCCGAGCCAGGGAGCCGCCCGGCTTTCCCCACCGCACTGCCCCCCATCACCCGCCCCACATAAGCACACACCCGCACGCATTCCCCCCCCCCCCCCCCCCCATAGAGCTGGAAGGGAAGGTTACCTGATCGACCGGTTTTTATCCGAGAGACCCTTATCGGGATTAATTCTCACGGTTTCCGGCGATCAGGGAATTGGATGACCTCCCCCGTGCTACGTGGCACCGCGGCGCTGCGGCCGGCCTTAATATGGTGTGGTCGCGGCGTGGGGCATTCGGCCACCGCGGTTGAGGCGCATTTCCCCCCACACACACCCCCACGAGTCGACGGGGCAAGCAGGGGAGGCACGGGACAGCATGAATAGCGGGGTCACAGGGGCTGTTGCGCATAGTCATGGAGGGTTGGGATAATTGCGCTTGAGCGCGCAGGCCCCATTGTTAGGAAGGGTAAGGGAGTAATTAGGATGTACGCCGCCAACGTCGCTCACTGATTAGCATATCAACAGCGCCCGGGAACCGCCGTGCGCGGGCTTGGGGTGCACGAGCCCATTGTTCAGCGCAGCATCCCCTTTGAGGTAGGGAGGATAAATAGAGGAGCGCAGAGGGGAAATCGCTCTCTTACTCCAGCGCCAGGCGACCAGACGCAGCTCGAGCCAGCGACCCGGACGTCCGTGCGACGCACCGAGGCACGCGGTTAGCACCAGGATCAGCGGACCGCCGTGGACACTTAACAGTGAGTAAGAAGGTGAATTAGAATCATAGCCGATAAATAGGGAATAGGTGCCGGTTTAGTGGAATAGGCCCGCCTCGTCGACTCACTGATTGAACATTAGTTACCAGGTAATAAATCATTAATAGCGAAGCGTGGTCTCGCGTGATCTTGTCGTGCAGTGTGAGCGTGTGGGAACGCGTGTGGTACTGTGTGTGCGTAAGCTCGCGGCGTGCGTAATAGGCGTACCCCAGGTGCGCGATCATAACGCAAGCGGCCAGCAGACGGCGAGCGCTGCGCAGAGCGGCGCAAGAGTGGGTGTCGCGTGTGTTCACTCCGTGTGTGATACAGGTGCGCGATCATAACTTGCGTAGTTGGTGTGGAGTTGGAGCGCACGGAGCGGCGTGTGTGTGTGTGCATACGTTCGTTACACGTCGGATACGGATGCGCATGGGTAACGTGCCGCACAGGGCTATACTGCGAGCACGGCGTTTGATTGACGATGATGTGCGCACGTATGCTCGCAGCGTGGGAGCGCGGCGCGAGGCTGTAACAGTAGGGGCGTCGCATCCGAATGCCGGCGAAACCGTAGCGAGTAATAGGGAGGTGGGGTAACGTAAACGGAATAGGGGGTGCAGGCGGGAGGGACCCCGGGGGCCGACGGCCCCCACAAATTGGTGTCGGAAGCGGTACGGACCCCCGCGTTACCTCACGCTAAAATAAGACTAATATTTACCGGCCGGGGGGCCCCTTCGTGGAAGGCATTCGCCCGCAATCTCTTAGGGGCCAAGGAAATTAATGGATGGACGGACGCGCAGGCAGTACGTCAACTTAATATGAATCTTGATGGGCGGGCAGCCGATTTTGTAGAAGCGTTACCCGCGAGCGCACAGACACAGCTAGAGGAGCTGATGCGCCGACTCGATCAGCGTTTTGGCACGCGTGACGAGGAGGAAGCAAAATCGGCCTTAGAGGCGCGCCGTCGCCAACCTGGCGAAGATCTACGTGATTACGCCGAGGATGTGCGCGAGTTAACAAAGTTCGCACGCCCGGGGTACGCAACTGATGTTATTGAGGAACTGGCCGCCGAGAAAATCCAGCGGTACCTGTCTCGCACGGCGTGGTGGCAGCCAGACATGAGCTGCCCACGTCTTCCCTTTAACACCCTTGTCGAGCGCGCACGTAAGTGTGAAAGAATTCACAGCGAACGCGCGCAGCTCCGGGGGCTGGGACGAGAGCGCGCCATTGCGAGCCTGCTCTCGGAAGACGAGGAGGAGGAACAGGAGCTCGCGAGGACGGTAAGGGGCCGGGAAAGAGAGCCACAGAGACCCAGCGAGACGACCCCGGGTTGGGTAGCCGGGCTACAGACCGGCATAGGAGATATACGCGAGGAAGCAAATAAAAATATGAAGACCATCCAGTCTGAGATGGGTGAGCTACACTCCACAGTAGGGGGGCTGGCCGGGAAGGTATCCCAATTAGAGTCCGAGTTGGAACAACTGCGTACAGGGAGAGGGAGCGGGCAGGGGACCCACTACGGAGCCGCCACCCCTCCCCGGACGTGTTATGTTTGCGATCGGCGAGGGCACCTCAGGAGGGACTGTCCTCAGGTCGCCCGAGCTAGACAAGAGCTAAGGTCAAACACTAAGGCCCCCCTAGAGAGGGGACCACCGGGGGGTGAAATCGACGTAGCCCCGACACGAACAAGCTGTAGTGATAATGGCGAGCGAGTGATCTCCACACAGGTTCCAGCAACAACGCCCACGGAAACGGTGACTCCTGGCGACTGGCTACGGGAGCTGGTGGCGGGGATCACGGGGGCCACGTCGCTGGTGGAAGGGGAGGTAAACGGAGTGCGTACCCGAATCCTGCTGGACACGGGGGCGGTGGCCTCGCTCGTGAGCGAAGCGCACTGCAGCGCGATCGGGGTCGACGTGCGTCACCTGCAGGCACCGGACCGCGCGCTGCACACGGCGAGCGGAGCCGGAATGGGGCTGCTGGGGAGAGCCACCCTAGAGGTCCGCATAGGCAGCCAGGTGTGCACGCAGGAGTTCTACGTGTCGAGTGCGTTGTGTCACGAGTGTATCGCAGGCACCGACCTCCTAGAACGGTTGGGACTCAACGTGCAACCCCGCCAGCGATGCGCCACCATGGAGAGCAATGGCGAGCGGATACCGTTCCTGGGACGAGAACCAACGCGCCGCCGCTTTGCACCTGTGGCCGCTATCCTGGCGACGGCAGTCACCATCGGCCCGCTCACCGAGATGCTGGTGCCGGTGGCAACATCCCCCACCGACCCCGCGCTCCGACCATCAGGGGAGGTAATGCTAACTCCTCACCCGGAGTTGGCAAAACGGTATGGGGTTGTGGGATCCGCCACGTTGGTAAACGCAGATGGGGACCGATTGTTTATGCGGATGTTTAACCCCCACAATACCCCAGCGATACTGCGACGGCGCACCCCGATAGCCACAGTACACCCCCTGCACGCACGCCACTCTAACGACTCGGTGTTCGCACTCTGGGCTGAGGACCCCGGTCGTCCTGAGGGTGAGCAGGACCTGGCCTGGCGAGTCGGCCCGACTCCCCGAGCCGAGGTCGTTCCCCTGCTCGACGCGTTACATGTACCATGGGCGGACTTACCTAAGGGAGAGGCCGATCGGCTGCGCGAGTTACTGCGGGAGTATGCCGACGTGTTCAGCGAACACGACTCGGACGTGGGTCGGACCGACCTTGTTAAGCATCAAATTGACACCGGTGCAGCCCGACCCATCAAACTCCCTGCGTACCGAGTGGGCGCACCCGAACGCGCCCAAATCAAAGAGGCAGTTGGGGACATGCTTCGCGATAACATAATTCAGCCCTCGGCGAGTCCCTGGTCAGCCCCGGTGGTACTAGTAACGAAAAAGGATGGGTCAACCCGGTTCTGCGTCGATTACCGTAAACTAAATGCAGTCACGCTCGGCGATGCCTTCCCCATACCTCGCATCGACGACACCTTCGACAGTCTCGCAGGAGCGCGGTATTTTTCCACCCTCGATCTGGCGTCCGGTTACTGGCAGGTGGAGATGACGGAGGAGGATCGGCCAAAAACAGCATTCACCACCCCGATGGGCCTGTT